TGGCCCTTTCAGAATCAACTGTGAGGTATTTGCTTCAGGTCTTATAAAGCCACCCTCCTGTCTTTCTCTCTTCCCTCTAGATGGGTGTCTGCTCTCAGATGGTTCACCCCACCCGGCTGAGACGGGACTGGAGGAGGAAGATGGCGAACGGGGCGACATGGCTTTCCTCAAAGACCTTCTCAGCCCGGGCCCGGGGGCCAGCGACGAGTTCAGCAGAGAGTGGCAGGATGCTTTCGGGCTTTTTGACCCTCCCAGCGTCCCTCCATCGAGCACAGGGGCAGCAAGTAGTGGCCCAGCGGCACGTCCACCCTCAAACCCGCCCAGCCCCACAGGCTTCCTGCCCTCCCAGCTGCTGGATCACAGTCTGAGCTCTACAGGTGAGCCACACTGCTCTATGCTGGAGGGAGGCGCTCACTGTAGCACACTGACTGATCACTCTTTGTAATATAGAAACATTATAATAAATAACAGGGTCTTTCTTTACTCATCTTGACATGCTTTGTCTTTTAGGCTGGTCAACCCCACCCATGTTCCAAGCTCCGCCCCTGCAGCCTCCTCCTGGTCAGAACCAGTCAGCTCAGCTGGCTCCAAGTTCTGCAGCTCATGGTAACTTTTTTCTTAATCTGCGTTCTTGTCTGTACTTGTGTTTTTTGCAAAAATGCCCATTAATCCCCTTGTCCCTCACTATCTATGTTCAGTGTGAAGGGATTATCCCAGGAAATTGTTAACTGAAATGGTAAACCAATCTCTTCTCATGATCAGTTTTAGTTAAGTCTATATAAATTGTGTTGGTGGAGGTGGTCGTAGTACCAGGCTATAAAACACTGTGGTAAACTTGTTGTGTACATTATCCCTGGAATATTTCCCAGCCCCAGCTTTGTTGTGTGGTAATTTGATTAAATCCAAATGAATGTAGGTCTTAAAAATAGATTTTGACACAACAAGACCATGTTAAATCCCATGTTAGCCGATACTGTGCTTGAGTTGTACATATTCCCAGAGAAAGTCACAATTATTCTAATTACCACAAACCAGTTGCCATGTAATAAATAAACAGCGGGCTGTATGGGGGGCCCCTGGGGCCCACTTAGTAATCCAACTCCACATTTAGCCAGATATGGTCCTAAAGTGATTGATAATTATCACAATAAATGTCAAATCATTACTTCTTTCAAATTTTAAAGGCTGATTTTTGCTCCTGAGTGAAAGTTGAAGAAACCATGAACAAACACTTGATGCCAAACATTGGATCACTTCACAAATCTGAGGCAGAACATTCAAAACAATTATGATGAAATCTTTTTTCAGTCCCTTTCTCCATCTAAATAAATATCTTAATTGACACATTAAGTGCTAATTTGTTGATGATTCAAATGAATTAAACATTTATTGAAACATTGGTTTTATTGTTATTGAAGAAAATTATATTGTGATAATTATCATTGTTTTATTGCCCAGTCCTAATTTGAGAGCAGTACTATTACAATATACTGTAATACAGTTATACTGTTATATTGTTGCTGTTATAACTTATATTTTAAGGACAATATTGATATTTGGGACTCAGATAACATTATGTTTTGTCTTGTTAAATGGCAACCAAGATGCATTTAACAGTGTAAAAACAACCTTTTCAGTGCTCTTTGGTGGACAAACCATACTATAAACTACAAACTATTCACTGTCACTTACTGGGATTGAACAAGCCATTGTTAATGTCATTAGTGACTTTCTTACTATGAAAAATCAAAATGTCTTTATGTCTGTTAGGATAAGAGGTCAGTGTGGTTAAATGCTCTGAGAAAGCTAGTTATGTGGACACACTTTTACATAAATCTAAACTTTCTTGTGGGTGTGTATGCAGCAACTCCAAGTGGATCCAAAGACATGTCTGCCTGGTTCAACCTGTTCGCAGACCTGGACCCCCTCTCCAACCCCGACGCCATCGGACGCTCCGCAGACGAGCTGCTCAACGCCTAAAGGTGTGTGTGAAGAAGAACACACATTAACAGTGAAAAACACACCTTGATGCACACACGTGCGCCTGTATTTCTGTTAGCAGGAGAGGTGTCTACATATCCACACATGCAAACACACTCATTGTGTTACACTGGTTATGTTATTTTACACTTTCAGTCCAGATAACGGTTAAACGCTCTCCTCAGCTGCAACTTTATAAATGACTGTTAACACTACACGTGAAGCCACTGAATCGTATGCACACAGCAGACCTCATGGGGTTTGTGTTACCTTTCGCTATTAGTTGTTCCAGCTTCTGTTAAGCGGAGAGAATGTTTGAGTTACGGGTTTATTTTGGACGCCGTCGCATGTTTTTCCCTGTGTGCTGTTCATGTTTGCGTTGTTTGGGTGTGTCAGTTTGCTGTGTGTACACATCACAAGGGACCCAGGGTGTAAAATAAATTGAGTGCTTAGTGTCTATTTACTACTTAATGTTGTTTTATACATTGTAGCACATGATTTTCACTTGGACTGAACAATTAATAGAAATCTTCAAATCGCAGGAGGCGCAATCTTTGTTAAAGGTCTAAATATCATGTTCTACAGACTTACTTATTTGTTTGCTACAGGTCCCTTCAAAAATTGCACCATAATCATTTAAACATGTTTTCCAATGAAAATGACAATAATGATGTAAAAATTATAATTTTCTTCAGTATCGCAAATCATATCGCAGTTGCAATATCAGTCAAAATAATTGAGTCATACATCCCAGTTGTCACATATGAATGGAGAGAGAGAGAGAGAGAGTGTGTGTGTGTGTATATATATATATATATGTTGGACATAGTGTTGTATGTATGAGATAAGACTGAGTCACTGAGCCTGTATTTGCACACACAAACAGCAGCAGCAGTTGTCTGTATCAAAAAGCAAGATTAGTGGGTTATCCAGCTATCTTTGGACTTTACACAGGTTTTCTGGTTTCACAATGCTGACTCACTTTTAGCTGGAGTGGTGGATCGCCATGTTAACCTATGCTGGACAACTAATCTTGGCCGTTTCCTAAAAGCCTCATAAACTGGAGCGGGTTTAGTAAAGAGGAATGGATTAAAAACAGCTTGATTTGTGGCCACTGAGTTCACTGGAGAAATATTAATCGTTCATAGAGAATCCTGTCATGCACATAAGTACTGAGTTCAGATAAAAGTAATAAGGAACAACAGAGATTTTAGTTCTACAGCTCAGGATAACATTTTGAGTGTTAAATCTTTTTAGACTCAACGAGGAAATCATTGTAATTAATTTGTTATGTCAGTTTTTATTATAAAACATGGTAAAAGCTCTTTTGGGCTGTACTTGAGCTAAATGTTAACATCAGTTATCAACTAACTCTCTAAATGTAGCATGTTGGCATGCTGACATTTGCTAATAACCACTAAACACGAAGAACAGTTATCACATTTCATCCTGAGATGAACGTCTGAACCACATGTCATGGTGGATCCATGCATTGTTGAAATATTTGAGTCTGGACCAAAGTGGGCGAGTTTTTCGCTTGGACCATGGGCATCTTTCCGCTCTGCTTTGGCAGCAGGAAAAGCCCTTACACACCAAAATGTCACTATGCAAAGTAAATGGATTATCTTGGGATAATAATGCTTTTATTATTTAGAATTTATTCCTAAAGTATCTTATCTAGATGTGTGATTTTATTACCTGCGGGTATCACCACCTAATCTCATGTCATTTAAGTGCTGCACTCATTGTTCTGATGTTCATTGCAATTAAGAACTTCACCTCTGGAATGTGCTTGTAGCTTGATAGTGAAAACCCAGGGTTAATAGAGGCAACTGGTGAACAGCTTCAGGATACCAGTTATCCAGGATCGCTGACATTTGGCTCGGTGAAGCCGGGTAACCCAAGCTTACTTGCTTTGTGATGCGGACCAAACTCTGGATCTTTTAAGACTCCACCAGTTTGATAAATGTGACTCTCTTGTTGATTGAAATTCTCCGTTTTCTGTTAGTCTCAGTCTAATGGTCTAAAAGTGAACTGTGAACCGTCTCTGGAGAGGACTGATGGTGTCGTTTTGACTGAACTGGAGTTCACAGGCCCAGTGGGGAAATATATTTTGTTAAAACTTCATGTTTATCCTCTCACCTTCAGCCCAGATTCTACTCGCTCTGAATTTAGTGTGGGTAAATATAGAATGCGTTTGAAATCCTCCTCAGTCCAGTCTGTCGTTTGAATTTCACAATTACAAGTCCAAGGCCAAGAAAAACTTTTATTTTGAAGTTTTAAAGTAGGACACATGAATTTGCTTATTTTTGGGCGGGTGGGTTATTAAAAATCTGCAAATAATGGCACCTAAGCTGCATAAAAATGTATTTATTTTCAGATGATATCGCTGTTTGCAAAATCAAATGTTTTTGTTGTGCTGTACACTGAAAAATATAACACTGTATAATACTGTCTATTTTTAGCTCTGTGTTGTGTATTTTGAGAATTCACAGATTTTGGAAATATATTATTGTTTTATGGGGAAATAATCAACACTGGAAAACTGTTACCATGTCGTAAAATGTATTTCTAACTTAATCTGCTGTGGATTTAATTTCCACTGAACTACCAAGACTGACATTTTTGAATGTTTACATGTTGGTTTAGTGAACAGCTGCAAACGAGGATGTAGAGTTTCTAAAAATGTACGTTCTGGATAACACACCTGAGTTGTTGACGTGCACCAACTGAAACCAAATCCTCAGTTATGACACTTGTGTGCCTGTGTAAGTGGCACAAATGTGATCAGAGTGCATCATGGGAGGAAGTCATCATGTCTGAAGAAAAACACTTTTTATAAAAACTGCACATTAGTATCTCTGCTATTTGTTTTTTTCTACTACACAGCATGTCATTTTATTTTTTCTTCTTGTTTCTAATGTGACACATGGAAGGAACTCTTATCCTCCTTTCCAAGCGGAGTGGTCACAAGGGGAAACTACATCATGTATTATACTGTTTACTCTTGATTTACACACTTAAAAAAAAAAAAAAGAATGTATTTCTCAAGTCAATCACAAATGCTTTATTTAATTCAACTATGCCTTTTTATTTCACTCAAGGGGTTTAACAGATGAAAACTTGGCAGTTCTGTTTCCAATAAACTGGACAAGCAAACAAAGAATCCTTGTCGAGTATTTCTTACGTTGAGCCTCATCCAAAAATGCTGTTTATTCATATCCACTTTGAAGAAGAAGAAAAAACAAAGATTGGTATCTGAAATAAATCTGTATTTCCACATGTATGAATCTGCTCTTTCAGACTACTTCTCTTTGTAAACAGATGTCTAAAAAAAAAAAACAACGACCAAGAACATGTCGCTTGTAGGTGTGATTGTTTTTCAGCAAGTGGATATCTCATTTTGGATCAGAACTCATCTAATTTCATTGAAGAAACATTACTCGTGCCAAATCAGGTGACATCCACACTTCTCTCTCTACTTCTACTCTGCTACAGGTTTACATCAGTCAGGATTTCCACTGTGTGAGGCTACATAAATAGCAGCTGTTGGTTTGCTCTCTTAATAGTAGTGTAGACTTGTTAGTGTGCGCTGAGAAGTTAGTATATCTCTTGTTATTTTTTTTTTTGTGTGTCCTATTCACTACAACCTGAGATGGACGATGCAATCTATTCTTGATTTAAAATTCTCTGCAGACCCAATTATACTCCCGATAAATAAATACATTATTATTCACAATAATGAGACGTGTAGTAATTCACAGTACTCAGCGGAGAAAATGCAGGAGGAGGCAGGGGGGAGGGATATAGGGTACAATTGTTGACTCATTCATTTACATATCTTTGTCAGCCGATAATACAAACACAGTGTGCCTCTATATTTACATATCCAGTACATTCCTATCCCACCGTAGCAGGCACAGTCAAGTAGTAATGACATATACAGGAAGAGGGGCCCGGGCACGGAGAGGTCTTCAACCAACAAACTACGACAGCTCCTCATCAGACATCCACATGTGTCGTTAGTTTTAATCAGGTGGTGTTTAAAGTGTGTTTCGTTAATATTTATGTTTAATTTTGAGCTTAGTTCAAAGGAGAACTTTCATATATTGTCATAACCTGCAGTAATTCATTATTTTGACCACTGAGGGGCAGTGGAAACAACATGTAGACACAGCACTGGTCAAGTTTGCCTTCAAATGTAGCGCTTTTAAAATATTAAATGAATAAAAACATGTATTTAAATGAAGTACAAATTAATGCCTGTTTCCATCCACAACTGTTGTGTGAATATTAGGGGTTGGTTCAAGGACACAGACTGCCTGCCAGCTGTGGCTGGACGTGAGAGTGAACTAAAACCAAAAGTTGTGTGCTGTAAAACCAAAACAAAGAAGCTGAAAAGCTCCGTAGAGCTAAGGGGAGCTGCAGTCCAGTGATTGCATGTAGTCATTTCATTAATTAATGCAGCTTTAGAGTTAGATAAAAATACTTTGATTTGAAACCAGAGTTTCGGGGTCTTTAAGGTTTGCACTTAAGCAATGTGGACTGATGTGGAGACTTAATTGTAATTGTTATGTTAGACTTTCAGTGCTGAAAACAGTAGGTTGGTTGCAGCTGTATTGTAGAAATCCATCTGCCCTCATGGTCCGCAGTGTAGTTGTTGCAGCTACTCCTTTACTGTAATTTAATTTAATAATTAAATATTAATGTATTTTATTGCTGTTTTGCCTTAAAGAATTTGTTTGATTAAACTGTTAATATTATTATTTTAGTTAATTTAAAAAAAATAATTAGTAGGTAGTGGGCAGCTTGGGCAGGTGAATCTACATACAGGGGTAGTCACATTTAGCACAGGTAGGGACTGGAAAAGATTCATGGTTTTTTACCAAGGCAAGAGAGGCTGTAGACACCATTTGTTTGTTTGCTCGCTTGAAATGGAAATAAACCACATAAACGCTATGCTTGCCTGGACAATGGACTTCTTTTTCCCTGCTTAAGAGTCATTCCGTAGGTGTCTCAGTGGCCATTTGATTTTGAGAATGTTTGATCTTTATTTTAATTTTTTTGTCTGATTTATATTTTGCCACTACAGTAGTATTTGTGTTCACCAACCTCTCCATGCTCAGGGCCCTACAAGCCAGAGGGAGCCTGTCGCCGTGAGGACGAGGGCCTTTTGGACACATTTCACAACAACACTAGCTGAGAAAGACTCAAGGAAATCAGCATGACAAGTGACAGTGAGGGAAAGAAAATGGAGAGAAAGAGGTGGAAAAGGTAGGAACAGAGCGGTTGGGGCAGTTGTGATGGCGGTGGAGTAAAAAGGGACAATTGGAGCAAAGGCTGGCGCTTGGGAAAGGAGGGGCAAGCAGACACAGGTGGAACACGCTGCACACATCATAGCCCTGGCCTGTGTTTCCCATAGATACACACCGCCCGGCAGGGGACCAGTTCACTGCTACCAGTTAGTGTAACAAAGGCATCGGCCTGTACTGGTTTACAGTCAGCTTTAAATGTAAATGGCTGACAGAAGTACAAAACAGATGTCTGGATTTAGTTCACAATTAATATACCACCTGCCTTTCTGCGTGTATCTATGGCCATCATAGTGCAAACATCACGTGTGTCATGCTAAAGAAACAAACATGATCAGAGCACTACGCTGGTTTAGCGAAACTGAGCGGTCTAAGATATCAGGCACATTTTTAACTTCTCCTTGTCGCGACCGTTCAAGTTTTGCTACGATAAATCTGGCAGCACCAAAATTAGCCTCCGTGGTCAAACTCTTGGTCGCCTTTTTTTTTTTTTGTAATGGAAGGCATATTTCATATAAAGAGAAATAACTACAGATAGAAAAAGAGATATGTCCGTGGAAAGGCGCCATGGTATAATACGATGAAATAAAAGAGTCTGTCCTTTTTCGCCCTTTTCCTCCCACATAACAGGAACGTAACCAGCACTAAAGGTAGAAGAAAGCGATGAAATGTTGGCCGCAAACCCTGGCACAGGGCTGCAGGACTCTCGTTGTAGTCGTCTGAGGAGGAGAGGCAGTGGGAAGCGCTTTTTCAACAAGATAAGGACATCAGAGAGAGCTTAGCTGGCATGCTGAAGGCATTTTTTTTTTTGGAGCAGAAGGGTTGTTTCCTAGTTTCACATGTTTTCTGATTTAGTTGGGGAGGAGGGGGTTTCCTTCGTGGGGGCTGTGGCGACTTGAAGCCCTCGTGGGGTGTCAGAAGCTCTCAGGCTCTTCCAGGAGGCAGGGCTGGGTGGACAGAGGCACGAGGGACGGGGACAGGCTTCGGAGGCCCACCCCGGGGCGAAAGTTGAGGTCTGGGGCGGGGAGTAAGGGCTTTAGGATACTGACGAGGCAGAAGGCAGAGCCGCTGTTAGGGATGAAGTTGACCTTGTTGCGGTCGGGACACAGGAAGGGAGGAATCTCCTGCAGAGGTTTGGGCCTGCAAACACACATGCACAATGAACGTTTTAATACCGTTCGTAGCGGCTACATCACCTTTACAGGAAAAGGTGTGCTGAAAATATGTTTACCTTGTTAATGGCACTGTTACGACAGAATGTAGCCTTCACAAAATATACAAAATAGTCTTACAAGATAGGGCTGGCGATTTTAGACAACAAATTCCATGAATAGACCAAAACCTATAATATGTTAGTTCGTCTACCTTGTCTGTGTCTCTCAGGCAACATCCACACTATTTCATTTTCCTTTAAAAACGCAGACCTTTTGCTACGTTTGCACCTGCTGTTCAGACTAGAATGGTGACTCTAAAGACCTAAATCGGAGAAGTTTGAAAATCACTTTAAAACTCCGGGGTAGCGTATTAGTGCTACCTAACCTGTGAAAACGCTGGTGTTTTCATTAGTAGTGTGGATGTAGCCTCAGTCCCAAGCCCATTGGTTCCTACGCAAGATGAAAATCTTGAACACCACCTCACAAATATATACAGTTACATAACGTAACATTTCATTTAAAAAAAAGGCTAAGTGATTTCATCAAACGTTAGCAAATGTTAACATGAGGAAATAGTGCATCTGTTGGGGACTATTTTCAGTGGCGGATTAATCTACATTTTGTGCTCTAGTGAGTTTTTGGGGCAGCAGGATGGTGTATGTGGTACTGAGTCAAAATGTGTGTTTGTTCAGATAGTATTGGGGAGTTTTCTACTCACATGAACTCCTCGAATACTTTGACCTTCTCACAGCCCTCTGGAGGTTCTCTCTTGAACATGTAGCTGTTGTTTGGTCTGGGAGAGGCAGCGTATTTAGGCAGAGGGGAGTAAGGGCCCAGCTCTGAGGACAAGCAGAGAGAGGACACTGGAGGTCAGAGGTCAGGGTCAGAAACACGACTCACTCAGAGAGACTCTGGAGGGCCATGTGTGCAATATGCATATGGTACAACATGTGACGTGTGTTGGCCACCTTTGTCTTCATAGGGGCTGCCTCCACCTGTGTCGTTGAGGACGGTGAGGTAGGAGGGCGAGATGGAGTCGGGACGGCTACTGCAGTTGCTGTGGTTACCACTCAGGCCGCCCCCTGAGGGAGTCTGTGTGTCGATGCTGCGGGTGCTGCTGCTGCGCTGTGGGGGGACGGGTGGGGGTGCACGGTGCCCATCTGGGACATCCTGTGGCTGTCGTACAAACACACACACACACAAATGAGGTCACAATAACAACGCTGTACCGGGGGGCTTAATCCCTGGCAAGTGGTGGTGTGTGAACCCTTGAAAAACCTTGAATGTTAATTAATACAGTGAACAACAAAACATTTTTAAGAGAAGGACAAAACGTTTTCAAAAACCCCCTAACCCCAATCTCTTAGCGGAACTCACAACGATGGTCTCGTCCTTTTCAGGGGTGTCTTGGATGGTAATGCGCTCGATCTCCTGGTTGAGGCCCTCCACGCTGTTGCGGAAACGAGGGGCCGATGACTTGGATATAGGGATGGGTATCAGAATGGTCTTGGGCATAGGTGACTGCGAAACACACACAAGACACGAACACGCAAGGCTGCAGTTAACATCTTTCATTTGGCAGCAGTGAGCAGGAAGCTGCTGCCACAGATATCAGATATATAAATATATGCTTCATATTTCTCAAGAAAAATTATAGCTGCGCTTGTAATACCAACAGTATCCATAAATCATGAATATTGAAACAAGTCTCGGCGACTTGGAATCATTAACTCAACACTGCACTTCTTAGTACAGGGTACGATGTACTACGACAGATAACAGCTCCATTACTTGATTTTTTTCCCTCCCACACAATGACAGAAACATTTCTATGTAGGTACAGGCAGCTTAACGCACGCACATTTCAAAAGCAGATCACAGAGTTGCATGGAAAAATGTTCTCCGTAGTCGTCGACTTCTTATTTGTATCACCACCATATCTAAATGTGGCTTCATGTTTACTTTGTATAAGAAATCACAAGAGGCAATGTGTCCCCCAAAGGGTGCAACCAGGCTCTACAGTATGACAATCTCTTACTTGGAAAGTAGTATGAGAAAATGTTGCTGTCTCATCTTGAAACTTCATCATGAATTGATTCATGGATTTGATTTGTCCCTTGTGTTATAAGAACGAAATGGGAACTTAGTATGTACTTAATGTAATGTGGGATTGAGTCTTTACAGTCCAGAGTCACACAAGTCATCTGCTGAAATATTGCTTTACTTTAATTTACTAAATGGATTCTGTCACTATTGGATATTACTTCTCTGCAACTCTATTGCGTAACATTTATTTACACAACCCAGAGTGCTAAATAGTGTTTGGGAGTGTTGATTGATTGCTTTTGTCTTGTTTGTTTGTTTTCTTGCCGCCACCAATTGCGATTTTTTTGGGGCAGCTTTGCACATGGACAGAAATGGTACTTGGTATGTTTATGTGAGAATACTTTATGTTCAGTAAAATGTTTTTATACAAGAACTGCTGATGTAGTGTCTCTGAACCTATGGGTACTTTTTTTTTTTCCTTCTGTAACGAAAAACAAATAAAAAAATCGATCACGGTTTGACAAGCAACAAGTGATGTTTCCTGTCCTGTCTTCTTCAATCAGCTGGCACATTTTAGAAAGGGGACGGAGACTCTTCACTTTTGTCACTTTGGGCAGGCAGGCGTGTTCCTGCTGGCTAATGGCTCTTTGTATCAGCTAACAAACTTGTCAAAAGGATTGTGAGAAAAGTTGCATGATAGCTCAGCCAATCGCTCTTTCTCTTTGTCTCATAGGGAGGCCCAGACAGCTGGACAGCTGCACTCCAGCAGACTCCACAGGGAGCGTATGACTGGCCCTGCCGCTGTCACTGACACAGAGCATCATGACAGGATACTGTGTGTAAGTGTGTGTGTGTGTGTGTGTGTGTGTGTGTGTGAGCATCTGCAGAATCAGAAGAACCCAAATTAACTGACTTTTCATAGCCCAGAGGTCGTTAAAAAGCCCACGTCACATTTCAAATTACCAGGAGACACACCAGAGCCTAACAGGGACACGAGGAAAAGTGGGACGTCCTCAAAACTCTCCAGATCAGGCAGCCAACCTAGTTCCTCTCAGAGACGGAGCCACTTGGCAGACACACACACAAACGCACACTCCCTGAAGCACACTGTTTCTATTGATCACCTGCGACTGGATGATGGTGTGGCTGCCATTGAACGGGGACTTGCGGTCTTTATCCCGTCGATGGCGGCTGCTGCGTTTGCTGCGCTGAAGCTGCTGACGCAATTTGGCAATCTGGAGAATTTCACAGACACAGAGACACTGTAATGCAGACATATAGATACAGACACATCTTGTTAATGGTGGTGCGTTGAGCGAAAGCTACTGCACAGTGTTCAGAAACAGCATTTCCTTCCAACACAATAGGCCTTTTTTTTTCTCTTTTATTTATTCTGGCTCCAAAATCAGGTGAGAAACGGACCTCCTTGAGCTGGTCGGTGCTCCCACAGGAGGCCGAGCGTTTGTGAGAGCCCCTCCTCCTCTCATCTGCCCAGGCCCTGGGGGTCTGAGACACACACACACTGGTTAGAGCTAAATATTAAACATACAAGCACAAAACAACCAAATCAGGAGACACATGGGAGGGAAAAAGTAACAAGAAAACCAGACCTATATTAAATAATCGATAAATAATACAAATAATCCATAGTTTTTGTTTAGAGTCCTGCATGGGTAGGGGGCTTACTTAATGATATAAAGCAACATAAACATCCTAAAACTCAAATGTGTCTCATTCAACATGCTTATATTTTTGAGTGTAAAGTAAATGAATGAAGTCTAGTGAAAAAAAATCATTGTTGTTCGGGTCATAGGACTTAAATTGTGCTTGTAACTTGACTCTTTATATTCCCATGTTCTTAAAACAAACAAAACAACCTTTTGCATCAACTTGTTTTACGTATTTTTCTTCGTTCTAATACAGCAACCTTGCTTCATCTTTCTTGTTTCAAGACATACACACTCATTTGTAGAAAGATCTTTTAGAATGGGTTAAAGTGAATGATTTCTATTGGAAAGGATTGAAGACTCAAAAGCCCTGATGCTGAAACTCTATGTGCAGTGAAACAAAGAGGGGCATATTCTTAAGGTTGTGCTAAAAGGCTAGTGTGCAATAAAGAATAAGAATTAGAAAAATAAATACAAATTTTTATCATACAAGTGCTAAAATGCTCAAGTATATATTGGGCTGGTGTGTGAGGGAGCTCTGCAATTTTTCCAGTATATAAAATTTTATAATGGGAAGATCACAGTTGCAATACACTTGTGTTCACACACAAGTACAAATATGTAAATGTAATTAATAGAAATTCTAACTGTGTGTGTGTGTGTGTGTGTATAAACTGCTCACATTCTGTCCACACTTAGGCCATAATCTTTGACGAGGAGTCACAAGAGGACATTGCGTCATCTTAACTGGTCACAAGTCAAAAAGAATTGCAAGAATAAGAAAGATGGTGCTATTTTCTGGGATTGTGTCTACGAACAAGTGCTGTCACCAGCACCAAACTGACCATAATAATACAGTTAAGAATGTCATTAAAAGTACAGTATTATGGGTTTTATACAACACCACCAATGTGTGTGCTGAAGTGAGGTGTAAAAACAGAACAGAAACATCTGTTTGACTGCTGAGATGACCTGCTGTTGAAGAAATATCTACCAGCTACTGTTTGACCTGAGTCTGGTTCAAAGTCAGTCTGCAAGTGATAGTCAGAGGCAGCACAGCACGATGATGCAACTGTCTGCAATCTCTGTAAACCTCTTTGCATTGATTGCCTCGTAAACACATATATACACATACATACATCTCGCAAGCATTCATCAGAACACACACATGTTGAGCATTTCTGGATCTTTCAAAGGCATTTGATGTGGCAAAGCATGACATTTTAGTATCTACATTGCAAAAATGTAGATTGTAATGTAAATGTAGACAGCATTTGTATGATCTAAAAACTATATTTCCAACAGAGCACAATTTGTTAGGATGCTGGGTTGCCATTCACACAAAGCACTATTACAACGTGGTGTGCCCCTATTCCTTATTAAATTTACCAAATGTGTCCAACATTTGTATCCGATGTTTGCAGCTTACACAACTCAACAACTCACTTGATTAAAGTAGTTAAGTGTTGGTCTAGTCAAATCATTATTTCTTTTAAGTTTAAAGGCTGATTTTGATTTGCTCCTGAGTGAAAGTTGAAGAAACCAGATGTTTAATTGTGGTTTTAAACTTTTCTTTATGGAATGGCATTCCTATCAGCCTCAGTTGTACTTTGTGTTTAGTTCTATTGGCAAATGTTAGCATGCAAACATGCTAAACTGAAATAAACATCCTTAACATCAGCATGTAGTATTGTCATTAGGATTTAGTTTAAAGCACCTCTGTGCCTGAATACAGCCTCACAGAGCTGCGGGCATAGCTTTAAACTGTAGTGTTGTTCAATATTTAGTGACAATTTGTTTGCTTACAGTGCATATATATCATCATATATGTTTATAATGTTTGGTTGTGCTCTAAAAACCCTTTGTTGTATTGCTAATTTATGATATTAACATTGTCCAAATACGTACAAGACCCGAGGGAAACCAGACAGCTATCTAAATTTCCCAAACATCTCACTAGCAGAGGCTAATTTTCAATCAGATACAGGGGTCCTAGCTTATTGAACTCTTTGTCCTATTTGATTAAAATGACCAAATGTACAAACATTTAATCTCTTCTTCATAACCTTGTTTGGTTTTTTGTTATGTGACAACTTATTCTCAACAGTCTAAATTCATTAAAGATTATTTAGGTACAGGAAATCAATAAGACATTTTGGATTTTTTCCCTCTCAATGTCCATTTTTGAACACAAAACTCAAACTAATGCACCATCCACTGAAACACCACCACACACACAGATATAAACCCCCCACAGCACTCACCTGCGTCGCTTTGTCCCTCATGTAGGAAACGTGTTGGTGCTGGCTGTCGTCCTGAGGCCAGGGACCTGTCAGGTGAGAGCCAGCGAAGGCGCCCTGTGAGGGCCACAGCTGGACGCGATACCGAGAGGCCGAGAGGAGAATGAGGAGCAGAGCGCTTGGAGGGAGAGGAGGGCGGACGCCGGAGGATGTAGACCACACAAAGATTTGTGGGAGGTTAAGGCCACTGATGCAGTCTGAGCAGGAGAGAGAGAGAGCGGAGTCAAGAGGTCTGCCTTGAGATGTAAACAAGGTATTTGTCAACACATGGTAAACACATCAACAAATCAACAGCTGGCCTGCAGGATAAGCTGCTGGCTGTCTTGCCCTGTCCATCTAGGTTTGTGAGTGTGTCTGCATTTGTGTTACCAGATTAATGTTAATCCGTCCCGTGCTGGGCTGAGCGGATATGCCCTCCCTCTTAGTCTCACAGAACCCCCTGGTTAATGGCATTAAAACAGCTTAAAGAAGGTGCTGGTTTCTGCCCCGCTGACCCTGATTCAGAGCTGCAGCCGCATGTTTTGCGTGGGTGCCGGCACCCACGGGTAGCAGGAAGCATAAGCAAATTCTGATTTTCTAATTTAAGATTCCAGTTTTTGCATTAGATAACAAACTGCAAGGTAAAATGCCAAACATTCCCCCTGTGTGTGTCTGTGTGATAGTAAACACAATTGCATCTTTGGGCTTTAGGAAAGTAAATTTTATAAACCACACAGTTAATTGATGAATCTTGAAAACAATCGGTCTCGTAGTAGATATAAATAATAATAAAATGATTGTTAGTTGCAGTGCTAGTTTACTATATACAGCAAAATTACTTGTATTTGGGTGGTAAGGGGTAGTTTCTTTTATGAAAACTGTGGTGCAAAGAACGCGTTAGTTTTGCATTGCATTCAGTGTGATCATGCTTTTTAGCCTAACAACATCCCCATTATATAAAACATTTTAGGAAATAAATAAATTGTTGATGACAAAAAATATGAAAGAACTATGAGGATTTTTTTTGCTTACAGCAAACTACCATAACTTTTACTGCGTCCACTCTGGCTACAAAAAACAAGTAGAGGGTAAGGATAAATGCTAAAATACAGTGTATGAGTAACACAAGCAGAGAATCATAAAGTCAGCAAACTGATTCATTAACGTCAGCCAACATTAGCCATAACGTAAGCTACAAAACCAAGTGAGGCTGAAGCAGCAAAACTCCTGAGTATATTTAACTGAGCAAGGTCGTGTTTTATTGCTTAAGGATTCAGTTTTTCTTTTGTTTGTAGGAAACATTTTGTCTTTCAAATATTACAAAGTGTCACTTTAATCTATTTAATACATCTTTGGACATCTATCGTGTCTCCATGTACAATGTAAATCACGATAAGGATTTTGTTAGATATTGTGCTAAATTGTGTTAAATAATCAAATTGATGCCCACTGCAATCAATTGCACTGGAACTGTGATCTATTTAAAGTATTCAAGGCTTTTCTGTAATGCTGTTTAAACAACAGAACAACAATGCTGCATTAATGAAACTCTGCATGCACAAACACACAACAGAATTTGACAGATTTTAATAGATGCGAAGCAGCTTGCAGGAGAAATAATGAATTTTATCCTACTAACAACATTCTGTACATGCAGCATGTATCCAAACACACGGCATCGACCGGCAGGGCTGGTCCTGGAGCTAAATTTGGCAAGGGCCTTGACCAGCGCACATCGCTGTTGCTAGGGAACGGAGCGACTGATCTTCACACAGCAGCGCTTGTGTGTGTGTGTGTGTGTGTGTGTGTGTGTGTGTGTGTGTGTGTGTGTGTGAACAGGGGTCTGAGCATCAGCAGTCTACTAGCAAATTGCTCAGCCTTCTTTATTTTGACTGCTGCTTTTCCTGTCTCAGTCTGCTCACACACATCAGCAACCCACTGCGTTGTACTGTGTAGGCTGACAGCAGTAGTAACAATGGTAGTGGCATTACTAGTACTACTCCGCCTGCTGTTATATTTATGTGTGTATAAGTGTCAATCCACGCAAGGAGCTACACTGAAGTCCCTTTAACCCAGATAAACACAAGACAGACTTAATTGAGCTAAGAGCAAAAGTGGGGGCAACCAGCTTGCACAGAAAGTAATATACACATGATGTAAATGCGCTTTTTACACCAGTAATTGTTTAGTTTATTTTAAAATATCAATACTATAATAATAATTTCCCACAGCCCAAATTGATGCCTTCAGTTAGCTTATTTTATCCAGTTCAATTCAATGTGAAGATGCATATGTAAGGAAAGGAAGGTCAGCTGCTTGAGTGAGGTAGTATGTCTGTACTGGAGCAGTATCAGGACAGTGCAAATGGCCTTTATTATATTACTCTATACACTATATATTCAAATAGACTGAGAAGAAAACCAGAAAAAAACACATTTGAGATATCAGAGCCAGTGATTTTTTTGTGTGCTTTTTTTGCTTTAAGAAATTACTTAAATGTCAATTAATCGTTTCATGTCTGGTTTACACAATTTACCTTAGCTGCCATGTCTGTGCATTTTGAATGGAATGAAATAAAATTAATGCCATCTAAAATAGATTAAATGTATCTTGCGAATTGCTGGGTTTTAAACTAAAATAAAAGGCTAAAGCAGATCAAATTTTGGGGGACTAGGAATACTTAATTGCCCATTCAGTTTAACAAATGCTATACTATACCCTGCACGTCAAATCTCCGTGCGATCGCATGTGCAATGTAGGCCAATTTTATTTACAGGGAAACATGCATGCAGCCCCTCCCCACCACACACATACCATCACCATCATCATAATAATAATACACGCCATGCTGGTGTTAGACCTCAATCCGGCTCATAATTTTGAGGCTGAATGTGTGAACATGAAACTCACCTGCAGAAATATGATCTAGGTCCGCTGCATGCAAAGGGGCATGCAGCTCTTCTTCAGCACCCCCGGCCCCTGTTGATGTTGCTCGCTGCTCGAAGATGCTAAAGCAGCGGTGGAGACAGGCAGGGCTGCAGGACGAGGGTGCAGGCTACAAGTGAGGGGAGCCCTCTTAGATATAAAGAAGCAGACATAGAAAAGATAGTAACGGTCTTCGTGGGCACCGTAGTGATACAGTAGGTGTCAAAATGGGCGTTGCTGTATTCGCACCCTGCCTCCTCCTCCTAGTCGTCGTCGTGGATGAATGTTTTTCTCTACCCGGGTGATGCGGCACGACGGCTGCAGCTGCAGCTACCGAAACGCTTTGTGGTCGAAGAAGAAAAAAACACGAGTATAAAAAAGAGGAAGATGCGTTGTGCTCGGAAAATAACAACAGAAGGACAGGAAATACAGAAGGAATAGAAACAAGGAGGTGGTGATGCTGGGATAGCCTCGGTTGACAAGACGGGAGAGGGGACCAAGTGTGAAGCAAGCCGGGATAGACAATATAACTTCCGGGTGTCATTTTCAAAGTAAAATATTTACTCTGTCGCGTCGTGCAAGGGACTGTGGTTAAGAAGAGCTTTTTAAAATATGGCCCCCCAAGCTCCAAGTTTACTGTGAGTCCACTTACTTCCAGAGGTGGGACCAACTCAGTGTTTTACAAGTCACAAATGAGTCTCAGGCTTAGAACTCAAGTCCCGAGTCCAGACCGGTTGAGACAGTCAAGTCCGAGTCTTGAAGAGGGACCCTGTGTTGTTATGTAGTTGTAAGATGAGAAGTCTCAAGTCAAGACCTTTTTACATATAGTCTATGGTCAAGACCAACAAGTCCAAAGTCGAGTCCAAAGTCCTAAACTTTGACTTTCAAGTCCTGAACAAGTCATAATGTGCTCTTTTGCCAAATACCATTTCATATTATTGGGTCCTTGGCGTGAAAAGGTTTGAGCACCACTGTGCTATATTATCTGATCTTAAAGCCCTGTCTTGAAGAGGGCTAAGAAGAATATTTAAATTTTGTATCTGATCACCGCGCGTCAAATCTGGGGCCAGGAGGTTGTAGCACAAGCAAAACTATAGGCTACACATTGCATAGTAATCGAGAGGAAAAGGTTGAAGGGGTACCCCCACCTTAAAGCTGCTGATTATTTTCTCCACTAATCGACTGACTGATTGTAAAAATTCCGAAAATAGCAAAAAATGCCATCACAATTACCCAAAGTGCCACCTTCATAATGTTTGTTTTGTCCGACCAGCAGTCCAAACCTCAACACTATTAACACAACATTCAAATAAATTAAAATAATTAAAAGGACAAGCAGTAAATCTTCACATTGGTGAAGCTTTAATATGAAAAATGTCTTAAACAATCAAAACAGTTGCAAATTCATTCAATAGCCAACCCACTAATTGTTTCAGCTGTACTTGTATATGCTGGTCGACAGTTTAATTCATGACAAAACATCAAATTGTATACTCTTCATGTGTTTTGTATGTGAAAGGTTTAATTTGTAAAGTAACTACTAAAGCTGTTGGATACATGTAGGGAAGTTAAAAGTACAATATCCTCCTTTCAGATATAGTGGAGTAGAAGTAGAAAGTGGCATAAAAAGAAAATACTCAAGTATAGGTACCTTAAATTTGTACTTAAGTAAATGTACCTACTTACTGTCCACCACTGTTCACATAAATCTGTAAAATCCTGCTTTGAGTATCACTAACAATCACCTAAGGTCACACTAAAGCACTCCTAATATTTTATTATGAAAGCAAGTCGGTCAATTTCCGGTGCAGTCCCGGTTACGTCTGGCCAACTTGACGCAGCCGAGGACGAGCTTTGACGTAGCGTACCAACGCCGAGCTGCTCGTGCTGATGCTGCAGTTGCTAGGGCGCGTGGAGCAGACAGACGGCGGAGAAGTAAACAAGTGCAGGAGAAGAAATGTCTCCCTCATGTGCCCAAGGTAGGAAACCTAAAGTTAGTGAATACTTGTTACATGTGAAGGGGTTACAGACTGTACTGTAATTTATTATATGGTCCCCAAAAAATGTTTCCTGGTATTAATAACATTTCAGCTTACATATTTTCAATGGCATACACAGAATGAAAATATATGCATTATTATTATTATTAATGTACACCCGAGAGATAATATAATAATTTTTACATAATTAATAATTGTTCCTTGGCAGAATGTTACTGCATGTAAAAAAGCAAGAATTTTCAATGTAAGTTTTTTTTTTTCCCCATTTTATTGTTTTATATGTGACTTTCTGCTTTGGCAACATGTTACTAAAACTAAACTAAAACAAACCCAATAAAGCCCAAAAGGCAATACATAGCTATTAGTGAGAGTTTTGTCTAAGGAATAGTGCGACTCAAGTTCAGGGAAAAACACTTATTTGGCATTAAAATCAAAAATTGTGATTTGTACACTTAAGGAGTTTTGTACAGATTCAAATCAAATACAATGTGTTGATTAATGAGCTTTTGAGCTGTGTACAGAGCCAGGCTAGCTGTTTCCAGTCTTTGTGCTAATCTAGGCTTAAAGGCTGCAAGCTGTAGCATCACATTTAGAATAAAAGTATATGACATTAAGAGATTGTTTTAGAGACGACGTTTTTAACTCTATTTGGAGCAAATATCTCTTTAACCTATCAATAAAACATTTAATTTATCGCTATATAATTTTCCTCAATAACAATATAAGTTTGTTCAATAAATGTTTGATTCAATTCATTTGAATCATAAACTAATTAGTGTTCAGTTTTTCTATTAAGATTTTTATTTTGTTTATTTATTTTGTTGTTATTTTGAATGTTCTATCTCGGATTTGTTAATTGATTAACTTTTTAGCAAGTGTTTGTCATGTTCTGACCATAAACTTAAATAGTTTAAAACCACAATTAACCGTCTGGTTTGTGCAACTTTTCACTCAGGAGAAAAAAAACAAAAAAGCCTTTAAACTTGAAAGACATTTATCGTGACAATTATTAGGGGTGGGAATCACCAGAGGCCCTATGATATGATATTATCACGATATTTATGTTGTGATTCGATTTCCAATTAGGTCCCAAGAGACTTGCCGTTGACAGATATAATCCAACAGTTATTTCATACATTTATTGAGAATTGCTTCTTCCATATTGACTTGAAAATGTTTACAGAAACTGTACCGAGCAGACGCATAGCAATGGAATCAAAGGCCGTGTCCATTGAATGCAAAACAGAACTCCATAAAAATGATGCAAATATCAATGCAATACACATACATGTTTTTTTTTCATACAAATTGCAGATTACAAAAACATAAATGAGATCTTTTCATATGCCCTGAAGCGGCGCTGAAAATACAGAATGAGTACAATGACATTTCAGCACGCCTGTACAGCGGTAGGCCCAGATAACTCTAATTCTTGCTGATAAAACACAATACGTGTACACCCTCTTTCTCCCTCTCACTCACACACACACACACACACACACACACACACACACACACACACACAGAATCAGTCATTTGAACATCACGGGATGAGACAACAATAAGCAGAAATAATATCCAGCGTGCTTCAGAGGGGTTTGGGTTTTTTTGTGTGTGACTATGTGTGATTTCCAACAGAGTTCAAAGAGCAGAATCTGAGCTTTCTTGTGTTTCTGGTCTTTTCAGTCACATACAGACAGCTAAACACACAGTCCACAGTGAGGTCACGTGATGGTGGTACAGCCATTGCGTCGGGCACTGTAACAGATCCCTCCGTAGATTCGATTCTCATGATTGTAGCGTTAAAAAGACCCCCAGAGTCTGAGCCATTCCTGGTGAAATTGTGCAAGCAGAGGTGTATCATGAAAAATCACTTTTCCAGTCAGATGGGATTTGATTGTTAGTGTTTGTGCCCCTTAAAAATAGTCCACAGAAGAAGGAAAGAGAGGAGGATTGTCACCCATTTTCTCCTCTTGAGTCGGGAGGGGGGGTGGGTGTGATAGTGTATACTGGATTGTTAACAAAACGATTGTGACTATCCATAAGTGCAACAGAGATTAACATATCAAAAATAATGATGGGATAAAACAAAGACCAAAATAATGGAAGCAATAAAAACATCGAAAGCATCTAAAAGCTACATCCTATTGCACAATTAAAAATTATGATACAAAAAAAATGGATACATAGTGAAAAAAAGACAAAATTTGTATTGCATACAAATTAAGGAAATAAAAATAAGTATTTTTGTTCCGTCTTTTAAGACCGTCGATTCTTTTACAGAGCCTGCTCCTGAACTTCGCTTGATGCAGCAAAGTAGGAGAAAGAGAGCGCTCGTAGTGTTGATTGTTATTCATCGCCTTTCAAAAGTTTAGAGACCACTCGCTTCTTGTCGTGGTCGCAACAGACAGGACTTCTAAACACTGATTTTAATCGGTTCAAAGTGCAAATAGAAAGGAAAAAAAACAACTACAAAATCCGTTGAAAACATTGCTATGCTCATGAGGATGAAACATCAAACAAACAGACAAAGGGAGGATTAATAAAACACAGGAAAGAGAAGCGGGTGAGAATGCTGCATAGCTGGATTCCATTTAAAGCAATGCCATCATCAGAAAGACACATAGGAGCGAGACAGACCTAATTACTGTACATGATCAGACTCGACTGTTTGTTCACAAGACACTCCATAGCTTCCTCTTGCTGATTCAGAGCAGAGAGCTCGACAGACAGAAACCACATGCTCTCTGGTTCTTCTCTTTTTTTTCTTTGTCTTTTTTTTTTCCAGTCTTGTCGGAGGGTCTGAGTTCACACATGGGTGTCTCCAGGCTCGCTGGCCAAGCTCCCCCCCCGCAGGTAGATGGCTGAACTGGACTTGGGCCGGTTCTGACTGTGACCTTGACCGCGGGCGGACCCGTTGTTGTTGACCTCCGGTCCCCTGGTGTCTGTGGAGATGACCCACGTGGTGGGTCGCCACTTCTTCAGGGAATAAGGCGTTTTCACACGCTTCTTGATCTTATCGCCGGTCCCAAAGGCTCCATCCGGCTGTACCAAGCCTTCCCCTGGGAAACACGAAGGAACAGTGATCAGTACTTTGTGGCAAAGTTTTACACCAGTGAAACATATTCAAACCAGTCTCCTGCAGGTATACATGCAAGACAATGTGTCCTTAAAAAGCCACTCCAGCAAGTCAGTATTACACTATCATAAAGTTGGGGAACTCACAAGAGACACAATATAATAATATATATATATTATTTTTGTTTATGACTTTGAGTCCCTAGTAAAGCTTCAAGAAACACCTACATTTCCCATAAAACAAACAATATAATTTTGTTAGACCCTCCCTACCTGGTACATGACCATTTCTTTCCAACTCCATGACCCCAGTTTATAACACAGATTTGTAGCCTCCCAACCCAGGCTGAGATTACACGGATGATTAAAAAACAAGTGGAGGAGAGGAAATGTCTCCCCTGTGTGTCCAAAGTAAGCAACTTAAAGTGATTTATTGAGTTATTGTATGTTTGTTGTCTGGGACAGGGTTACAAAGATGTGATTTATTGTGTGATTTATTTATAAATGTGATTTATTGTGGCACTTAAATACATTTACACATGAGGAACAGAGCTCATACAGATGTGGTCCTCTGCTGCTGCCCTGAAAAAAAAACTAATATGGTTCCCAAAAAATAAGGACTCTTGCCCCTTTCCTGATATAATTAATAATAATGTTATTATTATTTTACTATACGTCTCACCAGACGTGTAGTATAGGACACGTCTGGTGAGATTCTATGTTTTGTTATAGTCAACAAATCCCATGTGCAGAGCCAAACTAACAATGAATGGATCCTACTGACAAGAACTGATATGTGAAGCCTGATATCTGTGCCATAGAGCTCCATTGTTGTCCCTGAAATATTAAAAACACACACAAAGTGAGCATTCCTGCTGCCCCAAATACTCACTACAGCAGAAAAACTGGATTCATCCGCTGCTGTAAATAGTCCCCAACAAATGCCTTATTTCCTCCTGTTTGAGTAAAGTTTGATAAAAACTACAGTGACCAGCTGTTTTAAGAAATTAGTAATCCCTTCTTAAAAATTAAACTATAATTTTTGTGATTGTGATGTAAGATTTATGTTTTCAGTAAGAATCGGTGGGCGTGGGAAAATTGAGAGACGGATCAACACAGTGTTGTTGGTTTTGGTTTCTTCATGGGATTTGTTGACAATAACAAAAATATAGAATATCGCCAGCCTTAAGCTTAAACATTTTGTTCAGACAAAACAGGCAACAATAGGCCTCATTCACTTGGGCAGCATGTGAATCACACTTTGGACAAACTGCTCTTGCGTGAGGTGTATATAAAATCACCTAGTGAGGCCAGGTCCTGTGTTGTGAAGGACAGATCCAGGGAGTTGGGTCTCTCTGGCCTGCGGGCTCTGGGCTGCCTGAGCAGGGCCTCCCCTCTCATGGTGACCGGAGCTTCCCCCTGGAGTTCAGCAGTGCCAGATCCCGATCCAGAGCTTTCTCCTGGGGGCCCCGTGGATTCCCTGCTCGCTCCCTCTCCGGTCCCCTCCTCCTCTCCTCCGTCACTCTCTCCTCCGCTCTCCCCGTCCCCCCGGCCGTGGCCGGTGTTGCTGTTGTTGTTGTTGGTGTTGGGTCGGGCCGAGCGGAGAGCGGCGACGCTCGAGGACGCGTCTCTCGGATCGGGCTGCTCTCGCTCGCGGCTCAGAAGTGGCTCGTGTTCGTCTGGGCTGGCCGTGATGACGCCGAGGCTCAGACGACTGTCGTCCGACCTCAGGACTCCGGACCCGTTCTGAGTTACGCCGGATCCTCCGAAACCTGTCGCTCCACCTGTCGCCATAGATGAGAGCCCAGTGCTGGCGTGACCGTTAACGCTGCCGTTAACGCTGCCGTTGACATGCGTGTCTCGTAGAACAGGTGTGTTGTTTGTGCCTGCGC